AATCCCGGTCCCGCCATGTCCCAGAAGCAAGAAGAGGAGAACCCTGCGGAGGAGACCGGCGAGGAGAAGCAGGTGAAACGGAGGGGGTGCGGGCGGGCGAGCCGGGGGCGACCGTGATGAGGCGGGAGACGGTCTCCCACCAGTGCGGATTGGTCGCCATGGTCTCAGGCTCTGCAGGGGTTGGCCGCTTCTTGCGTCACGCAGGGTGAGCCTCAGCGCGGCTTGCTGCTTTGGCACTGGTTGGTTGGGTCGATTGTCAGTCGGTTGTGTACCCTTTCTGATTGGCCAATAAGCCTACGGCTCAACTTGTTAAACCTGTGCTATAATTGGCCGAGCTCGGGCGCGGGGCGGGTGTTTGGAAAGACTGGGTGAATGAAAGGGGTCTGGTGGTCCCGGGTTGCGGAGTGTTATTGGTTAGTAGCGGTAAAAGACCCCACACCCAGGCTGCGGCGGCATCCTAAATCCTCAGAAAGAAACAGTTCGAGGTAAAGACGTTTAAAAAGGACCAGCGGTGGGGGAAGGGAGAAGAGTAATTATTATCGTAGCTGGTTTAAGGCGGCAACTTTCTCTAGAGACCTATTTTGATGGTTGGGGACGGTCTGTTGCCCACCTTCGATGAGGACCGAACAAGGTTGAAGACTGGAGTTCCGTACAGAATAATGGAGATTTAACCTAGAAAAGACGCCGAGAGAGTCGTGACAAGAAAGACGCCGCCCTATTCCCCCCAGACTTCCAAGGTAGTGAGACTTAGTTCACCCGCAATTCTGTGATGAAAACACTCCAGATAAACCTCCTCTGGGGTTTGTATTTGACTTAGAACGTTTGGTATTGGGCTCAGAGGTTCGTGAAATACACCTGGTGTTAATTTGTGCCGGATTTTCAAGGGAAGGGAATATGATTCCGCTAAATAAGGAGCCACAAATTGGCTTTAGGCCCTTTTAGAGAGTCATTAAAGAAGAGGGCGGCGGGGCCCACAAAAGGCAAGAAGAAAGTCGCAACAAGAGAGCCTCTGCAAGCTAATTGAGTTCTTGGCACGTTCCCCAAACTTCCATCGCTTGCCCCATTAGGGAAAGTGTTGATTTTTTGGCAAAAACTGGTGGGTAAATACTAGTTAACCTACTGTATCTTTGTTTTCCTGAGGTTGAAAACAGTGTTATTTTCATTTCTGTTTACCTGTCACCTTCCTACCACAATGTTTATGGAAATGCTGAAGCAATGCTGTTCTATTAAGGTGGAGATTTCTGGAAAAGGCCACATAGCCTCCTCCACGGACTTATCAGATAACTGTGTTAGACTTGGAACAATGAGGGAACGTCTCAGCAGAATTATCCCCTTTATTTCCCATTCAACCTGTACTGTGTGTTAGGGACAGCCAGGGAACTTTCCTACTCATCTTGTATCACCAGAAGCCCTGTTAGCTTTCTGTCTTCTGTGCTGAGTGAGCAGTGGCTCACTCTGTGATTAAAGCATTGTGTTTAGGTATTAAACCTAGTGCTCGCAGGTCACGGAGGTGGTTCCCAGGGCATAGTGTGAGAAGCAGCTGGTCTTTTTCTTCTCACAGTACAGTCATCTTGAGCTTTAAGGATTTGAACAAAGGTCTAGCTTTATTTAAGAGCAGAGTGGAGATAGCGTGTTTGCAAGTGGGTAGATCTCCAGGAAAAGTTGATAGTATAAAGGTTATCAGATATTAGAAGCAGTTGCTTCTCAGTCTTTAATTTTATTGGCCCATTTGTTTCCTCCAGGACACGCAGGAGAAAGAAGGTATTCTCCCTGAGAGAGCTGAGGAGGCAAAGCTAAAGGCCAAATATCCAAGCCTAGGACAAAAGCCTGGAGGCTCCGACTTCCTCATGAAGAGACTCCAGAAAGGGGTATGGAGCACGATCTTACCCTCTGACTTTGGAGCTAAAGGGGGGCTTTAGGGTTGAGATCTGTAGAGATTCTACTGAAGACTGATCTAGAGGTTTTGTTGTTGGGCAGTGGTAGAAAGGAATTAGAAACTTATAAAGAGCAAGGCAAGTTATTGTAAGTCCCTGATATGGTATCAGTTATGTTCTGATTTTCCATATAGGAAATTAAGGCTTTATGTCAGGGCATTTGGGTATGAGGAGTTGGAGGAATGAGGGAAGGGTGTTAGAGACTGGTATGCTGACTGCCCCCAGGCATTTGCCTCTTTGGATAGTGAGAGTTCCAGGACTGCACTTTTAGGATTAGAGCTAAATTTGGGCATGCATCATTTCAGAAGTCCCCAGAGGTACCTAAAGCTGACTGAGGGATTGTAAATTCATTAAACTGGAGTGTGGTCCTCTGTGTGGATGAAATGGAGAGAGCAGGAGATCCCTGTGGAGAATCCTAGTTATTGAGTCTTAGTCACAGAGGATGATGTGATGCTGATTTGCAGCTTACCTTGCTGTAGGCAACGCAGGCGTGGGCAGGCTGTCACAGCCATGGAACATGTGTGGGAGTGGTGGGAGTCCGAGGGAAAGTACATTTTCCTCACGAACAAGCCCAGTTTCTATTCATGGTCTGAGAGAATGAATTTTAATTTTGAGGTTGTTGGCTTGAGGTTGATCTCCTGCTGATTGCTATGATAGCCCCAGATTGACCATTATGTCTTATTTCCGTTTCCCCAGCACCAAGCCCATTGGAGGCTAATAGGTCCTCAGTAAGCCTTTATGAATAAAGTCAGTAATTTGTTTGAACCATCCTTTACTAATGGGGCTACAAAGGATGTAGGGGCTATCTCTTAACTCCAAAAAATCTATACTCCAGCTAGGAAATTGCTCACATTCCTGAAAAAGCCAGAATGCATTGGGGAGAAGACATAAAGTAAATGTGATTAATGCTAAGTTATGTATGCATGAGGTTAATCAAAGAAGCTTTGAAAGACCCGAGTGTACATAGGAGTTTGTAATGGATGTGAGTCTCCTTGCTTTTGAGGAAGGCCAGAGCTCCTCACTCACCTAAGCCTCTCTCTTGTCTCTTAGCAAAAGTACTTTGACTCAGGAGACTACAACATGGCCAAAGCCAAGATGAAGAATAAGCAGCTGCCAAGCGCAGGACCAGACAAGAACCTGGTGACTGGTGACCACATCCCCACCCCACAGGATCTGCCCCAGAGAAAGTCCTCGCTCGTCACCAGCAAGCTTGCGGGGTAACCTGGGCCCCCCTTCTCCTCCCCTTACTCACTCACTGGACTTTTGTATATCATAGGCAGGGATAGAATGGGCACCTAGTTAGATCTTCTCAGCTTGCTAGCCAGAAATGACTGTGATTCTGCTGGGGGCTGCTGAGAAGGCAGTGCAAGTTGAAGAGGGGCTCTTGAGTTCATTTCTCTGGTTTAATTAAGATTTCCACACCCTCACTGTAGCCCAGGTAGGGGTCCAGAAATAGGAGACTAGGATTGGATAATGCTGCAAACTGTTTTTTTCTTTTGTATGAGAAACTGGGGAGATGTGATTTCTCCTTTTGAAAGAGACTATCCCCAAATTAGTTAGGCTAAGCCTTGGGAATACTACAGCAGATTTAACATCCCGAGGGTAACTTGACAGAGTTGGGAAAGGTAGATTGAATGAGATCTGTTTTCTGTGCTTCTAAGTGTTGTGTCCCTTAGGCTGCCATTGCTTCATGTTTCCATTATGGCAGGTTTAGAGAATCCTCAAAAAAGAAAAACTGATTTGCTTGCCTAAATTATAATGCTCACTTAACCTCCCTTACTCAGTCAGTGTCTCTTACAGTTTGCCCTGGCTCTTAAATAATGTAAATAGATTGGAGACCATTATCCACATAAAATGGGCACCTTCTCTCTCTCTTCCAGCATGTTGCTTTTGAACGTATCATGAGATGGTGGAAAGAGCACTGGTTTAGGAGTCAAGATAACTGGGTTCTAGTTGTACTCAGTCTTTACAGAACTGATGTGTAACCTTGGTCAAGTCATTTAACCTCTCTGGATTTGTTTCCTCATTTGTAAAATAGAGTTGAATACAGATAAGATTGATTGGTTTTTAAGTCCAATAACTGCCAACTGAAAAACTCTGTGCTATTCATTGTAAATCTAAAAGTGAGGAAGGCCCATGGGTGTGCCTACAGAGGGGAACCGTTTGAAGACTACATGGGGAGAGACGAAGTTGAGATTTGGGGCTTATAAATTCAGGCAAGAGGGCCTTAGAAGTATCATGATTTTGAGGATCACGAAAAAGAATTTTAAGAAACTGGCTATAGAAGCTTCTTGCTTCTGCTCCCGCCCACTTTCCTGGCCTACAATCTGGGCCTTCGCTGCTAAAAGCTGCTCTGGCAGCTGAGCTGTAGGCCTGAGGAAACATGCTCAGTCATGCACACGTGGAGTCCCACATTTCAGCTGTAATCCAATGCCAGGCGCATTGTTAGGGAGACAAGAGGGAAATGGATGAACTGAGCTAGTCTCCAGGGCTTAGCACTACTGCAGGGCTGGAGCAGCAGGTTCTTAGGAGATGATTCACCTTGGAGGAAGCTGGGGAGGGGAGTTAGGGAGAGAGAAAAGGAACACTGAGAAATCTCTGCCTTCCCAGAGCACTGTAACCCAGCCCCTGTGTGATGAGAAGTAGCAATGCTGATTCGTCAACAGGTGGACGGAAGGGGTTGCAGGTGGCCAGCATCTTCAATTGAGTTATCATTAGGCAGGCCTGAATTTTACTGAATGCAGCTTGCTAGTTACGACAGAAAGGGCCAGGGGGAGAACTGTTCAGGGGAAGAAGAGTATGTAATCCTCTCTTGTCCTCTCACCTCAGAAATTCTGAGAGGTCAAACACTTGGCGCGATGAGAATGACTGATGAACTTGCTGGTGCGCATGTGGAGAGATGGGGTGCTTATATACTTCTTTCCTGACTGGCCATTCACTCTCAGCCTGTCGTTCAGATTGGATAGGAAAATGTTGGTGAGGAAGGAATGGAGAGAGCAGGATCCCCGGATTCCCTGGCCCCACACTCCCTGACTGTCCCTTGTAATTGTATATAATTTGTGTTTCTTGCTCCATTTCCTCATGCTGTCTTCCTTAGTCTAAAGTCCATGTGGGAAGGGGAAAATGCCGAACATCCTTGTATAGTTTCCTCAACTGTCCCAGCTGTGTTGTACATAGATATGTCATGTTATTATATATATAAATATATATATAATTTTGTACCTTTTCTTCATCTCCGATCTTCTTGAATTTTGTACTTTTTTCTTTTCTGTCTGAGCTGCGTTCTCTGTTGGTCCATTTGAATCCTGAAGACTGAGGTCACAATGAGTCTGGTTTTTAGGAAGGAATAGAAGAAATAGGGAAATCAGAAAAACTGTTGGTCTCACTCTTTCTCCACCTGGTCCTCTTCAAGGCTAAGCAAACAAAGAAACAAGCTAAATTCTGTATTTGCCATCTATTTCCACAGCATGAAGTACATAGCTTCCATGGCAAATAAGAGTCATTTCAGAATCCAAATCGCCTTGATTAAACCAAGGTTATTCAAGCCACTCAGAACAACATGTGTGTTGTCTGGCCCTGGCCTCCACACAGTCACCACCTCATCACTGTGTGCCCCCAGTCAGTTTCCACTGCTGCAAGGAGCTGTGGGCAGGCCTCTGTAACTCAGCCTGCTCTGAGCCAGGTAGCTTACACCCCTGGAAACCTCCAGTTATTTTGATCTTGTCTAAAGAATTGTTTTTCTGTCCTTTTTTCATGGATATCTCCAAAAAGACAGAGAGCATTTTGTTGTGTGGATAGCAAAAGACTGAAATTCTCTTTTTTTTTTTTTTTTTTTTTTTTAACAACTCTATAGATAGGGCTGAGGTGTATTCCAGGTAGCCTAATGATTGAATGGTTAAGTGTGAAGACTGATGGGGAGACTGGGATGGAACTGAGGGGTTTTTCCGTTATTACTTGACAGTGTTTTCTTTTTCTTCTGTGTTCGTCTGCAGTGGCCAAGTTGAATGATGCTGCCCGGGGCTCCGCCAGATCCTGAGACGCTGCCCCCCTGGGTCCTTTGCTGGCTCCTGCCTCTCCCTGCCTTTGCAGCCAGGGGTCAGGAGGTGGCTTGGGCGCGGGCTGGAGAGGCAGAAGCCCCTGCCCGTCGGTGTCCCAGCGCATGGAGCCCCTTGGGCTGAGCACCAAGACTTTGAACCTTTTTTGTTTTTCTTTTTTTCCAAATAACTGTTGGGAGAAATCTCAGTGAAATTCTGGGGGTGGGGGTGGGGGTTTGAGAGGGTGGGGTGGGAGATTTGGGGGAATATGAATGCAGGCTTGGAGTTGATAAAAACATTCCTGACTATCCTCCTCCTTAACCATGTGGCTGGTGTGAGGTGGGTGTGAGGGGGAAGAAGTGGAGCAGACTACAGATGAGGGGTTCTAATTCAGCTCTGTAGAAAAATGCCTTGTTTGCTTGGATGTGGCTGGGGATCTGGTGTGAGATAAAAGAAACTGTCCATCTAAATGTGACAGATGCAAACAGCTCCTCTAGTTCTGCAGAGCAACCTAAGAACTCAATTAATGTTAATTGTTCATTAAAAAAAAAAAAGTGCTGTCCTTGAAATAGATTTGCTGTGGGGAGAAGGGCAGTGAGTGTGGGGAGAAGGGGCCATGAGTGTGGGGAGCCCCACAGAGCCCAGGGGACTTTTTCAGTATTTGAAATAAAAAAGAAAAGAAGACCCACAAAAAAAACCCAACCCAGAAATACTCTGAAGCAGTTGGTGTGTTTTATTGGGGTTTGGGGAAAGGGAGGAAAATAAGACTGAAGACACCATTCAGGGGAGAAGCTGGTGTGGGGCCCTGAGTTTCTAAGGAATAGGAGCCCTTAATATGGGTAATAGCTGAGCTCGCCTTTTCCGTCACTCAGGGAAAGGGAGCAGGGACGTTGGCGTACAGACCAGGGTTTTCCTGACTCCTGTACATCCCTGTGTTTTGGTAGCTAATGCAGGAGATGCAGCAACCTCAGGTTTTGGCTCACAAAATGAGGGATTTGAGGTATTTGATGTGAATGGTTTATTGCCACCTAAAGCTTAGTCCAGGCTAAGCAAAAAAGGAAGCTCACTCTTCCCTCTCCCTTTTAGTCTTCCATTCCTTCACAAGTTCTCATGTCTGGGAAGGAGAAATGTGACCTCTGGTAATAAGCCAAAAGGAACTCAAGCCTTTCTGTTTGTGGCCAGCAGGAGGCAGAGTGACTTCTTTCCTTATGATGTCCCAACCACCACTGGAACCCTGCCACTGAAAGAAGTTAAAAACTCCTTGTAAATGTAATATACAAAAGAAATGTTACCAAAGGAGAAATAAACTCACACTTGTCTCCCCCCTACCCACCCCAACATTCACACTTGGTAGATCGAAACTATTTGCCCATTTTGCCCAAGTTTCATTAGGAGAGTTTATCATGGTATTTTCCCAAATGTGATTGGCCTCTCAAATGAATATGCATCAAGGAAGATAAACAAGGTCCAGGAGACATAGATATTCCAGAGAAATCTCCATCATATTGAGGGGAAGGGTACTCCTGAACAGGAGAAGAAATATTGTTCTCAATATCTAACTCATTCTGTCTCCTTAATCAGAAGCTTTCCAAATAAGTTTTCAGCTACTCAGAATGTTACTGACTTGCTCTCTCCTGATTTAGCCAGGGGATTTTGATGCCTCCTAACCCTCAGCCTTTCTGAACAGCATGCTAGACACTGAGCGAGCCAGGTGGTATGGAGATACGTTAAAGAAAGGCATCCCCTATCTTTGTGAGGTTTATTGTCTAGCTAGAAAAAAATACATGAAAAAATTCATACACTTCAAAAGATACAAACTCAAATGGAGATGGATCCTAATTTGTGTGTGTGTGTATACATATATATGTATCTACATGTGTGCGTGTATATATATAAAAAATACATTAGTGAGTGTTTATTGTGGTGGGGTTAGTGAGCCTCATCCTGTTCCCCTTAAACCAATCCTATGAATTCTTTTTGAGCATGTTGTCCCTAGTTTATGTTTGCCAGATGGATATAGCTGGGGAATGGAGTCAGTGAGGCTGAATGTGGGATCATTCAGCTAGGGCAATTTCATTTTAATATACAGGTACAGAAGTTGAGGTATGGAACTCAACTACTTAGAAGGTGGCAAAGCTAGCTTACTGAAGAGCTTGAGTTAGTATCTAGGCCTTATATGATTTTTCCATTATTCCTGACTTCCCTGGTCCTGTTTTAAGCTGTAGCCTTAGGAATCCTGAGGTCCCAAGAAGTGTTTGTGGCTATCTCTATTTCAGTTTAAAAATTGCCATTCCTTCTCCTTCACTCCTGTACTATAGGGCTAGGCAACCAGGCCAGATGGATTCTGCAATGCTTCGGATAGTCTGCCCATTATTTTAGCTGGATGTTTTCTAACATCTGTATTCCAAAGAGTGGAGTCAAGGGTTCTTCCACTCCTCCAACATGACTGAGTGATGATTGTGCTGACAAGCCTCTCAGTTGAGCCATCTGATATGCAGAGTGGCAGGAATGAAGTCACCATTATTATTGTCCAGCAGCATTTATTTTAAGCTGATGTGGCCTGGGCATGGAAAATGCAGGCAAAGAAAAATAGCTCAGGGAGTTGCCATTGAGGATCTATCCACAGCGAGCCAGCAGCACCCACACGAGCAGCCCTCGCGTGTATAGTGCCCTTTACTGGGCCTTGAGGGAGGTTAACAAGGAAAGGGAGGCTCTCATCCCTCGTGAAGCTAAGACATAACGATGGCAAACAAATAAAAGCAAATTTGTGTAGTTCTAAGCAGAGTGCCAAGAGCTAAGGGAAGGAGAGTCAGGAGATGAGCTGTTAGCTAAACTTTCTTAGAGATGGATGACTTACTAAGCTAAGGCCGCCCATGCTTGGGCAGCAATATTTTAATTCACAAGTAATTGGTGAACACTGACTTTGTGATTAGAAATATTAACTGTTGTTGGGCAGATAAACAACGTAAGGGATGGTGTCTGCCCTGGTAGAACTTGAGGACTCACTGAGAAACTTCTACGTATAATGCAGGACAGCATATGATTAGTTAGGCAGTGGTAAAAGAATTCTAAGAAGGGGAAATTCAAAAGGCTGGAATCATTGGGTAAATATTAGTAGAGGAAATGGAAATTGAACTGGGCCTTGACAGATGGGTAGTATGGGGGCCAGTCCTGGTGGCGCAGCAGTTAAGTGCGCACGTTCTTCGGCGGCCCGGGCTTCGCGGGTTTGGATCCCGGGTGCGGACATGGCACCGCTTGACAGGCCATGCAGTGCTAAGCGTCCCACATAGAAAGTAGAGGAAGATGGGCACAGATATTAGCTCAGGGCCAGTCTTCCTCAGCAAAAAGAGGAGGCTTGGCAGCAGATGTTAGCTCAGGGCTGATCTTCAAAAAAAAAACAAACAAAAAAACTGAGTAGTATTTAAATAGTCCAGGTCAAATATCCCTTTTTTTTTTTTTAAAGATTGGCACCTGGGCTAACAACTGTTGCCAATCTTTTTTTTTTTTTTTTCACTTTATTTCACAATCCCCCCCCCCCCCCCCGGTACATAGTTGTATATCTTAGTTGCAGGTCCTTCTAGTTGTGGGATGTGGGATGCTGCCTCAACGTGGCCTGACGAGCAGTGCCATGTCCGCACCCAGGATCCGAACCCTGGGCCGCCGCAGCAGAGGACGCCAACTTAACCACTCGGCCACAGAGCCGGCCCCCCAGGTCAAATATCGTAATAAATGCCCACAGTATGCTAGGCACTGTGCTAAAACATAAGATGAGTGATACTTGAGTGCTGCTTTTGAAGAGATTACACTCTGGGGGGGAAACTACGCATGAGGAAATTGTATTACAATGTTCAACTTGCAGCAGTAGAGGCCTAGTGACAGGAATAGGGATGAGCATTTAATAATAATTACTAAATATTTTGAGTGCTTGCTATGTGTCAAGGCCCACGCTAAGTGCTTAACTTACATCATTCATTTAATCCTCACAACAATTCTGTGAAGTAGATAGTCTTACTATTGCCATTATACAAATGAGGAAACTACAACAGTAACGTGTGCAAGTCACACAGCTTCTGAGAGTGGAGGCAGGATTCACTCCACTGCCTGCAAAGGGATGGGGAAAAAGAGTGGTCAGGAAAAGTTTCATGGAGTAAGTGCCGAAGGATGAACAGGATTTCTCCAAAAAGGTAAGATGAGAAAGGGCATTTTGGTAGAGGGACCAACACTTAGAGAAGGATGAGACAGTGAGGAATCTGGTGGTTCTGCAGTAGCAGCGCTGGGGAGTGACTGGAGACCAGGCTAGAAAGGAAGGCAGACAGGAGCCAGATTACAGAGTATATGGCATGCAGGCAGGCCTGGGAACCACTGAGGGGATTACAAAGAAGAGATCTGGTCAGATCTGTTTTATTTATTTTTTTATCTTTATTTTTTGTGAGGAAGATTGGCCCTGAGCTAACATCTGTTGCTAATCCTCCTCATTTTGCTTGTGGAAGATGGTCGCGGAGCTAAATTAATGGCAGTCTTCCTCCATTTTATGTGGGATGCCACCACAGCATGGTTTGATGAGCAGTGCTGGGATCCATGCCCCAGATGCGAACCGGCAAACCTTGGGCTGCCGACACCGAGTGTGCGTCTTAACTACTACGCCACCGGGCTGGCCCCTGGTCAGATGTTTTAAATAGGTCACTGCCAAATTGTGTGGAGAAGGGATTTAAAGGTAATGAATTTAGTGATGGACTGCTTTGAATGTCAAGCTGCCTGGTTTTAAAACTCTGATTTTGATATATTTTGATAGGACAGGTTTCTTAAACTTTCTTTGCTTTAATTTACTTATTTGTAAAATAGGAATGATGTGGTACCTACCATAAAGGACTGTTGTGGTGATTAAACAAGAGAAGGCATGGAAAGCCCTTACTGCAGGGACTACAGCAGCACATAAGAGATAGTTCCTGCCATCAAGGAGCTTCCAGACTAGAGAGAGAGATAATAAAGATGGGTAGATGGACAATTAGAATACAAGGATTCGCTGCTAAAATAGGGATAAACCCAAAGTGCTCTGGAAGCACAGAGTAGGGGCAGTCACCTAATTTGGGGAAGTAGGAGAACAGTCAGGAAAATCCTTTCATAGAAAGTATGTTCTAAGCTGAAATCTGCTGGAGTAGTAGGACTGAGATAAAGGGGTTAGACTGCGAAAGGAGTCTTCCGGGTGGAAGGAACAGTATGTAAAAACATGCAGAGGTATTACATTCTGGAATCCAAAAAGAAACGAGTGGCTGTAGCATAGCACGCAAGGGGTAAAACCAGAGATGGGTGGAGGGAAACAAGAGTCAGATTACAAAGAGCCCTTTGGACTTGATGCTGAAGGCAGTGAGAAGCTGCTGTTTAAAGGTGTTGAGCAAGGGAATGACATGATCAAGTTAGTTCTTTGGAATAAGCTTTCTGACTGCAGTGTGGGGAACAGATTGAAGAGGGTAAAATTGATGTATTAAACATGCTATTAGTGGGACAGAAAAGTTGAGAAGGAGTTATGGCTTTTGTGAAGAGGAAGATAATGAGTTCAATTTGTGGCATAAGTTTGAAGTAACAATGAAACACCTAAGTGGAAAACTGTACGACACTCCATTTAGTAAACTATTACCATGGGCTAGTTGAATTATGACAGACTATTATGTTGCTACAGTACTGTAGGTTAGATATCATGAGGAACTAAAGAAGGTAATGGTAGTGGGGATGAAGAAGAGTAGACAGATTCAAGAGGTTTATGAGAAGTACGGTCAAGAGAACTTGATGTGGCATGTGGGACTTGGAAAGAGACCAGACTCTAATAAAAAATTCCCAGGTTTCTGGCCTGGATAACTGAGTAAATAATGATGCCATAACCCAGATAGAGAATACAACTGGAAGAGCAAGTTTGACAAGGAAGATAATGAGTTCAGTTTTGCAGAAGGGTTGATAGAGGGGCCTACAGGACATCCAAGAAGAGATGACCGGTAAGTTATTGGATTTATGAGTCTAGAGGTTAGAGAAGAAGTCAAGATAGGAGATAGAGATTCTGTGGACTTTGATACATACTAGTAAAGCTTTGGAAGTGAAAGCATATAGAGCAGAAAGACTGAAGAGCTGACCCTGATGAAGGCTAACATCTGAAGGGAATGGAGAAAAGGGCCCAACAAATAGAAGAATCAGAAAGATGTGGTGCCCAAGAACAGTTTAAAGGACGAACTGGATCAGTCAGTCGTGTAAAATGCTTTCGGTGGTTAAATGAAGTAGAAAATGAGACTATCTCACCCAGGTAATAAAAGTGCCCAAAAATTTCAGGAAAGAAATGTGCCCATATCATGGATACCTCTGTCACAATTATGGTTTAGGGGGTGTGTGTGTCCACCTTCTGTACTTTTCAAGATTTTGGTAATGAGCATGTCTTTGATAATTAGAGGTAATTTTTATTCTAAAAACAATAATAAAAATCACAAAATGTTAAAAAATGGACCAAAGGGTGTCCATTTGATTCGGCAATTAGTAGTCTTTTTGACATCAGCTTCAATCTTGCTTGTAGAACTGAGTAGTGGGGGAAGGTTTTGTTGTTGTTTTAGTATGGGAATGATTTAGTCACATTTATTGACTGAGTGAAAGGAACAAGTAAAAGTTGAAACTCAATAGAGAATGACGATAACCAAAAAAGCAGGGTTCTGAAGAAAAAAGAGGGGATGGGAACAAGAGCTCAGGGGGATATGGTTAAGTAAACAACACTTGAGCAGACATTTATTAAGCACTTAGTATGTGCCAGCCACTGTACAAGGTGAGGTGCTGGGGTTAGTCTAGTTGGGAAGCCAGCTTAGTAAGAAATTGGTCTCAATCAGGATGTATAACTCAAAGTGAAGATATAACAATGGGTAAACTCACAGATAATTGGTGGGAGTCCTTGTCCACCAGCTGTAATGTTCTTAGTGGCGTAGGATGTGAAGTTGCTAGATGAGAGTTAGGGAGGTGGCAGTTAGACAGGGACCTTAACAAAAGTAGCCATAGTTTAGAAGAGAAGATGAAAAGGAGCGGAATGGAAGAGAGCAGACAAAAAATACTAAGGAAAAAGGTTAGGGAGCAGTGTTGAGCCTAACAGATTAGAAACGACGAATGCCTAATCCTTGGAATGTGTAATCCATTGGAATGGTACCAACTCGTATATTTCTACTCTTTCCTCTAGCAACATCCAACTGCCTGAGTACAAGAGCAGAGAAGTCACATATATTGTTGTGTACGTCCTGGATCATGATTTGTAGACACATGAAGTAGACTGAGAAGGGAACAAGGGGATTGAAGGTGCTGGTGAAAGACAGTTCAGGGAATCCACCTGATCCAGACTGGGAAAGAAGGTAGGGTAAGGAAGGTATGATAACCTCTGGTCAAGAGAAGTCTTAATAAGGTCAAAGAGCAGATGATTTAGAAGTCAAAGAAATGATTAAGCTGGAAGCTCAGGACATGGTAGTCAGAATGATGTTAGAGTCTAAGATTTTAGAGTTGGAATTCTTCCAATGTAATGACAAGGGCAGTGGGAGTGGGTGTATAGGTAAAGGTCATTGGAGTGTAAAAGAACTAAGGGAGTTCCCACATCCAGCTGCCAAGGAAGGTAGCTTATTTATTTGGTGTTCTGTTATCATGTTAAATCCAACTGTATTTTTTTATATTAAAGGAAAATTAAAGTGTCTACCTTAGAAAGCAACAACAACCAAAAAGAATTATGGGCTTGGCGTGTTGGATCAATAAATCAAGGTGTTTAAATCCAGAATTATGCAGGACTGTGGAGAAGACGAAGCCAAGTGCCAGTCCTGGTGTAGGAGTGACCGGGAATATGAAGGAGAGTTTAACCTGGTGGAATGAACTCCAAAGCAGGAGAGGTTGCATGCAAATATCTTTAGAAGAATAATGGCCTGAAAATGACACTAGGGAGCAAAGAGGGTCTCAGTTCCCCAACTTTCTGATGTAGGAGGGAAAAAACCCACCCTCGAGGGCTGCAAATAAAGCTGTGTCTTAGGGGAAACCTAGGTGTAATTTGAATGAGTGGGTTGAGGGAAATTCTCTAAAGAGTTTCTGTGTGATGGGGGCCGGCCCGGTGGCGCAGTGGTTGAGTGCCCACCTTCCGCTTCGGCAGCCGAGGTTCGCCGCTTCGTATCCCGGGTGCAGATGTGGCACCGCTTGTCAAGCCATGCTGTGGTAGGCGTCCCACATAGAAAGTAGAGGACGATGGGGATGGATGTTAGCTCAGGGCCAGCCTTCCTCAAAAGAAAAAAGAGTTTCTGTGTGAGGCATCATTTGAGGGGACCAGGGACGAAAGTACAAGTGAGTAGGAGAGTTCTGCATCTGGGCAGGGTCCAAAGATTATAGAACTATTGTACAAGGAATTAGGCTTAAGTTTCCCAACTTTGGTTTAAAAGTTCTTTGGTACCAGTCTTGACTGAAGGCCCCAGAGGGTTATGGAGCCCAGAGACTCTCAGGGTGCTAAGTGGTAGGTTAAGCATTCTACTTCTGAGGAGACATTCTATGAAAAGAAAATGGAGCAGTAGTTTGAACAGTGATTACAAAGAGGAACACGTAAGCTAGACAAGCAAACAACTGAAGGAGGGTGTTTCATCCACTCATTGAACAAGTATTTCTTGAACTCCTACCAGGGTTTTGTCTGTTCTTTGTTATATCCCCAGCATCAAGAATGGTGTTTGACACATAATATGTGTTCAGTAAATATTTGTTGAAGGAATGATTAATCTATAAGTATTCAGGAAAAATAAAAAAGCTTGGGGCTGACCCTGTGGCCAAGTGGTTAAGTTTGTGCACTCCGCTTCAGCAGCCTGGGGTTTCGCCACTTCAAATTCTGAGTGTGGACCTAGCACTGCTCATCAGGCCATGCTGAGCTGGCGTCCCACAGAGCAGAGCCAGAAGGACCCACAACTAGAATATACAACTATGTACTGGGGGGCTTTGGGGAGAAGAAGGGAAAAAAAAGATTGGCAGCAGATGTTAGTACAGGGCCCACCTTCCTCAAAAAAATTTTAAAATTTTTTTAAAAATAAAGAAGAGTTTGGGGCTGGCCCCATGGCCAAGTGGTTAAGTTTGCGTGCTCCGCTGCCGGCGGCTCAGTGTTTCGTTGGTTCGAATCCTAGGTGCAGACATGGCACTGCTCATCGAGCCACGCTGAGGCAGCGTCCCACATGCCACAACTAGAAGGACCCACAACTAAGAATATACAACTATGTACCGGCGGGCTTTGGGGAGAAAAAGGAAAAAATAAAATCTTTAAAATAAATAAATAAATAAATAAAAATAAAAAAGAGTTTGATCTCTTTAAACAGTCTCTGAATGGCAGCATTAGTGGATAAACATGGAAATGAAACCTCTAATGAGAGAATGATGTTGGAAGGTTACTCTCCAGACAACGCTGGGTCTCTTTTGGAAAACTTTTCGATGAGCCACATGACTAAGAACAGACAAAGGCCAAGTGCTCAGATTATCAACCAAGGATGACTTTTTCGGTAAGACATTAAAATGTCTCTTGATGACAGGAAGAGAGCACTAAATACCAGTAACCGCATTGTGGTAAATTGGCCCCTTCAGGTAAGAAAAGTTTTGGTATAAACAGTTTAGTGACAGAGGCACTTAGTGTATTTAGATAGACATTTTTTGAACCTTGTTCTGACATATATTTATCATGGATAGATGCTAGAGATTAATACAAAATATGAACTTTTAGTTAATAAATCTTTATTATAATATTTAGATTGAAAATACTGAACTAAATAGAATTTATACAGTACACAGATTTTCTCAGATTATTCATATTAGCTGCTAGGACTACATACCCATCAATAAGCATCATTCTTTTTTTTTTTTTTAAAGGTGGCTGACCACCAGCCCACTGTTTTATGTGCTTTTTTTTTTTTTTTGGTGAGGAAGAATGGCCCTGAGCTAACATCTGTTGCCGATCTTCTTCTTTTTTTTTTTTTTTCTCCCCAAAGTCCCTCAGTACACAGTTGTATATCCTAGTTGTAGGTCCTTCTAGTTCTTCTGTGTAGGATGCCACCTCAGCATGGCTTGATGAGCAGTACATAAGTAAGTCCACGCACAGGATCTGAACTGGCAAACCCCGGGCTGCCAAAGTGGGGTGTGCAAACTTAACCACTCGGCCATGGGGCTGGCCCCCAATAAGCATCATTCTTGATCTAGTGCCAGCTACCTACCTTACAGTCCCGAACCCAATTAGTAACGTCAAACTGATACCTGTGCTAGAATATTTGTATTGTTAACTGGAGATAAAACTCCCGTGGTAGAAATTCAAACATTAGCAGACCTATGGGGGAATTTTTTTTGGCAGAGACAACTTATGTTGCTAAAATCCCCCCATGTAGACACCGCCTACTCAAATATACAAAGCAAGGTCCTAGCACCATTCAGTGCTCATGAGTCCTGGTTTGACATTAACGCCCATGCCTTTTGTGATTAAGAAAGTCTGAGTCACCCTCAGACTTTTCTCCATGCATTTCTGAGTCATTTCCTTTTCCATTGACTCAAACTAGGTAAAAGAAATATCCAAAAGTACAGGGTTTTGGAACTAAAGAGGCTTTAGAGATCATGAGTTCAGTGTACTCATTTTACAAATGGAACTGAGGGCAAAAGATTGTGCCTTTTGTCCAGTTGCACAGCCTTTGTCAGGCAGCTTTTCCTATACCAAGGCTCTCAGAAGCAGCTCATTTCACAGCAAATTTGAGACTCTGGCTTAGATTTGTTTTTGTTAGAAGTAAACAAACTAAATACTGGGGTTGGAGGTTGGAGAGGAACTTAGGGCCCAGAGGAACAAGCTGGCATTCATGGTATCCCCTTCAAGTAATTTGACCTATCATTGGTGCTCCTGCAATGGACCAAGGAGGGGACTCATGAAGGATCAGCATCTTTTAACTCAGGGTTTCTCTACCTTGGGACTGTTAACATTTTGGACTAGATAGTAATTCTTCGTTGTGGAGGCTATCCTATGTATTTTAAGATGTTAACAGCATCTGTGTCCTTTATCCATTAGATGCTCAGTCAATACAATCAGAAAAGTCCCCAGTGGGGCTGGCCCCGTGGTGTAATCGTTAAATTCGGCACGCTCTGCTTTGGCAGCCTGGGTTCCCTGGTTCGGATCCCAGACGTGGACCTACACCACTCATCAGTCCTGCTGTGTTGGCATCCCACATATAAAGTGGAGGAAGACTGGCACAGATGTTAGCTCAGGATGAATCTTCCTCAAGCAAAAAAAGAGGAAGATTGTCAACAGTTGTTAGCTCAGGGCCGATCTTCCTCAGGAAAAAGAAAAGTCCCCAGACATTGCCAAATGCTCCCTGGGTCCCCTGGTTGAGAACCACAGTGCTAACTTAAAGGGCTCTGTAACTCAGGCCTGGGCCCATTTAATCCTCTCAGGAGTGCCTAACCTTGCTCCTGCACCCCTGGTGCCTGGCTTCTCTCCCTCATCTTTCCCTCTGGGGCTATCACACCATCAGATGGGATCCTCGGACCTCTCTACCCTCAATGGCCCCGAAAGTGGCACCTGGGGTGAAAATGGGAAGCAGAAGTTTCTACCCTTCCCCTCTTGCACCAAGGGGATCCCCCTGGCTAGATAGGAATTTACATAATTGGTTAAAATAAGACAAAATGTATGCAGGGCTCAGCTGTTAACTGTGCCTGCTGTGAATCAAGTAGAGATCAGAGCCTTAAGCTCCTTTCCTACCTTGGGGTGGGCTGGGAGGGATAGATGAGGGCATACCAACGGAATCTGCCTTTTCTGCACAATTTCCCCTTGACTCAGCAGTCCCACTTCCCCTCCCCAGCCCACACTCATCCTCACCAGTGCCAGTATTTAGATAGACGCTGCAAGCTTGTGTTGTCATAGAAAGACAGAAACCAGATGGTTGCTATGGAGGTTTGTTTACACACCCCTAGAGTATGGCCCGGCTCAGTGGTAAGGGTAATGGCAGTGCTTGCTAGGACATGCATTTTTCTTCCTCTTAACTTGCTGTTCCCCTGCCTCTTCTATTCTCCCCACAAGTCCATGCTTCTTATTCCTGCTCCCAGACGCCACTTCCCACTAACCAGTATTGTTCTTAAACCTCTCCTTTGCCTCAGGAAGTCACAGTTTAAGAACAGAATTACTTAACCTTTTGAGCCTCAGTCCCTTCATGTGTAATATGAGGATAGTTATACTACAAACCTTATATGGGTTTTTTAAGAATTAAATTAGGGGGTCCGCCCCCGTGGCCGAGTGGTTAAGTTCACGTGCTCCACTTTGGCAGGCCAGGGTTTCACCAGTTTGGATCCTGGGTGCAGACGTGACACTGCTCATCAAGCCATGCTGAGGCAGCCTCCCGCATAGCATGACCAGAAGGACCTACAACTAGAATATACTACTATGTACTGGGGGGCTTTGGGGAGAAGAAAAAGAAAAAAAAGCATTAAATTAGATATATACAAAGAAACTTGTATCATGGCTGGCAAAGTAGATGCTCAATAAATGGAATTTGTTCTTACAGTCAAATAAAATCATGCTCTGGGGCACTTGGGAACCAACCACTAGTGCCTTTGGAAATCTTGGCTTGTGCTTCCTCTCTGATAGTAGGAAAAAGCTGTTGTGGGAGTGTGCCTTGTCCTGTGGAGTGATGGAAGAGCAGAATTGTAGGGGGAGGGAGGTTTGCTTTGTTTTTTATCTTTGTTGTACTCAGCTGGAAAGCTGTTCTGGGGGAAAAATCTGGACATATGATCTCTTCCTTTCTGCAATTTGAAATGAAAGCCACAGGGAAGAGAAGACACAAGACGGAATCATCCTTGCCTGGCTAAAATGGAAGAATATAAAGGAGGTAGAATGGTCTGTGGACCATTAGCTCTGGCTCCCTCCTCCAGCAGACCCCTATCCCAGAGGAGGCTGGCTGTGTCAGTGTAGCAGACTGAGGCTTGTTCCTTCTATAAATCCTGTGCGTGATGTCTGTTGAACTTTTTGGAAAAAAATAAACAACTGGTATTTTCTAACACCGGATAGAAGGCAGGTAGCTCCACGCCTGGAAGCAGGTAAGATTTCTCTTCTTCAGTTTGAATTCAGTGTAGAACTGTGTTCCTACAGGAAGTCTCAGCTCCTCCCAACACACTGAGGAAATAGAAAAAAGAAAACATTATGCACCTTGCATTTTCACCTCCCTTCTGACAAAACGGATACTACTATCCTGTTTTTACAGGTTAAAAAAAAGAGATTGAGTTGAAAAAGGACTAGAAAGGTAAACACTAAGCTGAGAATTGTGGTTACATCTGGAGGGAAGTTAAGGGAATGGGATTAGAGGTGGTCATCAAAGGAAATTTGGTCTCATCTGTAATGTTTTGCTTTTTTACAAGGAGAATATCTATGCATTAGTTGTGTAATTAAAAATTAAATTTTGAATTAAAAGGTAAGACGATTTTACACAATTTTAATGAAGCTCAGAAAAGGTCATTTATCTAAGGTCATAGAGAACTAGGTTTGGAGCCCAGAGGGAGTCCTGAGCTTT